GCTTGTTTGTTATGCTGTACTGATGAGTTCTTAAAGGACAAAACAACGTTGTATGCAGATTGATTTAACTTATATATATATATATAAAAATATATATCGTTAAAATACCATTAAAAATGATGTAAGAGGGAACAGAATTTGCTATTTATTTTTTTTCAAGGACCTTCGTCTGGACTCCACTAGGGCATTTAGTGGTTCCCATATACCTGCGTTTTTAATTTTTTGCTCAGAAGGTAGGCCTACAAAGAAATATTAGGCCTACATAATTATACCACATAGATTAATCTACCACAATAGTAAATATACTGATATTTTTTTTTCCAGCAGAGCCTTTGTTGCTACATGCGACCGGGGCCCTTGGTGGTCCTGATATTGATGGTCTCACTTTATTTGCATTAGTTTTTTCATCTCTTGAAACGTGCTACTATACCTATGTCATTATTATTATTATCATTTCTATATAAAATACAGAGTCATTAACATCATGTGACAGATTTGGGATGGTTATTATTCTTCAGATTCTTCTCTATGGATGTCCTTTTATGTACAGTGTATTATGCAATTATGATTTGGGATAGTGTATTCGATATCAGTAATATACAGTATTTTGTACTGTACTATTCTTCATAAAACTGTAAACATGATATTGCAATTATGTTTACTTAATTGTGAAGTTAGAAAGTACTTAACATTATTTCCTACAACTATCCAGGTGTGTGTAAATCATGTGACATAAAAGGGATGGTATAATATTCTTCCTATAGAGTTCAAACAATCTCTACGGGCACATTATACACAGTGTATCATGCAAAGTATGATGTAACAATAGTGTATTCAACTTATAAATTTTTTTACGATCCTTTAAGGAACTGTAAACATAATGTTGGAATAAAGCGTAATTTTCTTACAACTAGATTGTATCCAGTACTGGGTACTTCCTATGACAAGTAACAGGAATGTCTACTTATTTTTGCTTGTACAGATCAGACATCCTCTCTCTGTGTATTATGCACAGTAGAAATAATGAATACATACAGGCAGACATTTCCACACTATCCTTCTTCTTGTATTGTAGACCATGATTATATAAGTATTATATACAGTAAAAGTGATACTAAATTAGGCGATAAATCCATTTCATTAACACTCTGGCCGCCAAACACGGAGGTCTCCGTGTTTGCTAACGCAACGCTCGACCGCCAAACACGGAGATCTCCGTGTTTCAGGTTTTTGTACGGAATCCGATAGATGGGGTAATTACCAACATGTACTGACAATTTGAACTCTACATTCAGTCGGGACCGTAAGTATTTCGCTATTTGTTTGTTTACATTAGCGTTGTGCGGTATTGATTTACTTTCACGAAATCGCTATTATCTCAGCTTCGTTGTGCAAAATTGCGTAAATCTAAAAAAGTGAGTCATTTTCATTTTACTGTTACGGGTCACCGATTGTGATTAGAATAAAATGTTTGGTACCATTGTAAAGCTAACATGTTTGTAGTTCTTGTAGTGTTCACATACACATTACACACTCTCAACGAGCTTCGGAAAAGTGTTAAAATTTGCTAAAATGTCTGAGTGTTAATATATTATATAAATTGCTAGATATACCATACCGTTGTTAAGATCTTTGCATTGTCTTCTCCATCTAATGACAAGTACAAGCATAATGGTGGCAAAAATAGGGATAGTTATGGTAGATGTCCACCAAGTCACAGCATTTCCAAGGAAATAAATTTGAGCCTGAAACAAAAAGCCAAAAAACGATAATCACTTACAGAGTTACTAAGGTTGTAATTGTTAGTACAACATACCGTTAAACCCTTGAATTGAAGCCCTGGGCTTCTTTTTTATGCGAATTTTGGATGGGCTTCTTGTGAAGGCTACTTTTGCAAAGTAAACAGGGGGGGCTTCTTTTCAAAACGAATGACTGTGAATTTTGGGAATGTGTATCATGGAGTGTATTAACTGGCATTAAATCATCTAAACTACTGTATAAACCAAGCATGTTTTTAATTTATTTTGTTTTTTAAAATTAATGTATAGTGTATGTACTGTAACTATCTCGAAAAAAGCTTTTTCGAAAGGCTAATTTTGGAAACTAAAGAGGGCCTTCAATTCAAGATGGGCTTCTTCTCAAGATTAAGCCCATTGGGCTTCAATTCAAGGTTTTACGGTATTTGTTAATAAAAAAATATATAAACTCCCAGTGCAGACATACTGACTATCACCGCATCAGTGGCACTATGTTGGTCTACCTCCTCTTAGCAGTAGTTCAGACATCAGGAGAAAATATTAGAGATGGCCGTGATTAAAAATTGTAAAGATGTATGAAAAAATGCTATTCAAACAATTGATAATTATACTGCTGAGCTGGATTTCACCCATTTTAAAATTAAAAAAAACATGCTTACATTTGATTGGCTGTCCATCCAGTAGGCTGCACCCCTTTCCATTAAGAGCCACTCAAGAGGCACTGAGCTGTATTCATGTTCTTTAATGACATCCATGTTGGCTGCAAGCATCTTCCACTGATGATAGCAACAATGAATTCAAAAATGTTTTTGTCAGGGAAATAAAATGGATGGATTTTGAAAACCAGTCACAGAATTCCCGAAAAATTATCATATTACTCGATGGGTTGTGAAAAAGCAGGGGGCACCATGATACAAAATGAAATTAAATTTGAGTGTACAGTAAATACTGTATATTAATCTACATTTTTTGCTCCTACTGCTTTATACCTGTAACTCCATGAACTTTTCCCACATGCTCAATTCCTTGTCTGGAATACCATAACCTTCCTCTGGTCCAACTTCAACATCTTCACCTTCTACCTCTTTGTATACTGTTTGAAAGCATAAATACATTTTTAAAATCACATTTTAATTGTTCTTATGTGTGCCTACTATAATTTATATCTTGATACTGGTTTAAACTTACCATGTGAAAAAAACTAAAATTCAATTATGCATTAAAAAATCCCCAGTAAATCTAGCAAGTTTCACTTTTTGTAGTCACAGGGACCAGGCCAAACTTTCCAATGTTCAAATTGAAATAGGGCATATAGCCAAAAATTAATTATTTTAATTATTTATTATTTAATTTAAAATCTTATTCACTCAGAATTTCTGGATTTATTAATTTAAACACAATATATAATGAAGTTGTAGTCAATGATGAAGTTAACTAAGGTAATTTATAAGTAACCAGTGGTGGCACCGGGGGTGGGGGGGCTGAGGAGCTATAGTCCCCTCATCGGGGAAGCCTAGCCCTCCGTCGGGGAAGACGAGTACAACATCAACAACCACAACAACAACAACATAACATAAATTCATGTGCCGTTTTATTGTAAGTTATCCGACTACTGTAATATAACTACTTTTCACATTGAATTAAGCCCATGAAACGACATATTCTTCACAGTGAATTAATTACGTTCAAACATCTATTGGAACGAAAGTCAGCAGAACAGTGTCAAGTGTCAAAACGCTGTTTTAACACTATTTTTTAAAATGTCAGTGCATATTAATATTATGTATTGAAATAAGAAAAAAAAAGAATACAAATGCCCTTCCCCCATTTGAAAAATTCTGGATCCGCCCATGTTCAATGAGACAAATTAAAAATGTTTTACATTCTACTATGACAAATGCTTGTTTGGATATCCTCATCACCAAAAATTCGTCAAATATCCTCGTTTTGAGTTTGGTCTTAAAAATGGCAACTAAGGTGGAATATCCGGTAACTTCCAAACGTTTGTTTTGAGTTTGATCTCAGAGGGTTCGGTAAAAAGGCTGATTATGTAATGCATATTGATCATATACACTGCACTCATTTCATTTAATTTTTTTCAGGTAAAGGAAACCTAATAAATATATGATAATTATAATATGTTTAGGGAGGTAGTTCCGAAGAGTGGCAGCTGAAAATAAATATAATTTTGGACATATGATTTGGTGTTAACTTTAGAAACAATGAGCAAAGTAAGGTCAGAAGAACGAAGGGAGGGTAAAGAGACATATTTAGGAAGTAGATCAGGTAGGTAAGTGGGCTGTTGGATTCACAGTTCCTTAAATGTCAGTGGAAGAATTTTATACTTTATTTTCATGAATTAATGGGAAGCCAGTGTAACTTATAGATATAGAACATAGAACATTGCACTAGTTGATTCATCAAGGTAACTAGTCACGAAGTAGACACTTACATCTTGTGTATTTATGTTCTTCAACATTCCATATTGTTGCTTCTTGGCTTACAACCTTATCTGCTGCAACCTCAAATTGATTAAACCCCCAATCAGGCAGTTGAGAACCACTTATCTAAAATAAAAATCACCAGCTAAAGTAAGTTCATTCTAGAATATTTTTGTGTCAAAAAGTTATGAAAAACTACCAGTGGTAAAATCTTTAACAAAAAATTCAATCAAATGAGTTATTATTACTAAAGAAACAAATTAAAACAATATCTTTTTTAATACAAAAATCATAAAATTGATTACCTGGCAATTTGAGAAAATATGCAATAATATAGGAACACTATGTCGATTGACAAAAAAAAATGTTTTCAACTTATGTAGATATACAAAGTAAGATATTTGTATATTGAATATCATCCTTTACGCTTATTTGCAATAGCTCACCACAAATACATTTCAAAAACAAATTAACCTTTAGTAACAAATACCTTGATAGCACATGACGTATTCATATGAACAAGTCTAATGTGGGATTTAATGGTCTTCCAAATACTGCCCTCTGTTTCACGATTCACAATATCCTAGAGAAATATCACAAACAAATGAAAACAAGCAAGTTCTTTTTTAATTAAAAGAAGATTATACAGATTATAACTTTATTATTATATTTATTTTATTAATACTATTACAATAGAAAGACATTTTTAGGTTCAAATATATAAAGTATTGTGAACAATATTTAGATATACTCAGCATTGGGGTTATACACAGTAATACACAATGATGGTGATAGTTATTGAAATTATGATAATAATTCACAACTTACCACTTTCCAAAGATTTTGAGCAGGGTGGGAGATATTGTAATAAACATAACATGATACCTCCATACAATAAGGCGACATAGGGGCAGCAACATCATGACTAAAATACAAACAGGAAGACATCGTAAGTAAACGAAAAAAAAAGCTAACAAGTTTGCGATACTGATCAATAATCCGGTTTTTTTTCTCACCTATTCAGTGTTCTGCCAGAGATGCCGTGCACTAATTGAATAACATCCCCATGCTTGATGACACGTGGCTTGGAGTCTACAATCAGACTGGTGCTAAAACAATAATAATAATATTATAAAAAGAATGATAATAATAAAACCAATAATTTTAATAAGAAAAATATGAATTACTATATAAAATTGGCAGCATGTATTTTGTCATTATTATTGTTGTTGTTGTTATTGTTATGGTTAATATAACTTTGTTGTCATGATAATAGAAAAATAACTGTCTTCAATCCTAAATTGCTGTTCCTGTACATATTTTAAGTAGTTAATATTAGATAATAAATTTAATTAATGTTACAATCATGTTTCATTTTACTAATTATTCCACAGACATCAATGGTCACTATTATTTAATTATTAAAAAAAACAGAAATAATACTATTAAACAATCAAAATATTATTTGATCTTGTTACCTCTGCGGGTCTTTAACAAGCCACCAATTGTTGACATCCTTAAATGAGTAGCAAGTGACCTGTTGCTGAGCACTGCTGCCACGCCCATCAGGGTAGCGCATTGGGTACGTATGTGCATGGGAATGAAGCCAGCATGTTCGACCATGTGTGGGTCGTAAAGTAATTTGTGAACCGAATGCGATCCCCAAAGGCTGGCCTTTGGTAATGGATGACAAACCACCCTATTATGGAAATAAAACATGACATTTATAGACGTAGCTTGTTTAATGGGCTGTGATTGCATGCTATGTATTAGCCTTAGGCCGGATTTGACTTTGTATTGGGTTAACAGTTCATGGCATTATATATAGTAATTCCTCTGAGGATAATTCTTATTCATGATGTTAATATTAGGTCTTAATCCAAGAAGTAAAAAAAAATCTTGTGTCCTTGAGTAAGACACATATGTCTGCATTGCTTCCCTCCAAACAAGCGTATAAATGGGTACCTAGTGGGGTTGCCTGCTACAGTGACAATATGGCAGTAACACTTTAGCATGTGGACCTAACTACGACGTAGAAAAAAGGCACTCTATAACTGATAGGAAAATGCTATAGAAGCAACCTGTAACATTGAATAGTAAGGTTGGGGTAATATAAACATGAATGAAAAGAAAATTATTATATTGTTGTAAACTTGAGGACTAAAATTAAATTTCTTCATTGGGCATAAGAGTAGGGAAAGAAATATGTTAAATCTCTTCAAAAATGTGGATACTGTATTTGTAAATGATAATATTTTCCTAAGCAAGCATTGCAGTAAATAACCAAATAAGTTATTATGTTTAACACTATATTCTTCTGCATAATTTCCATTAGGCGAGACTTTTATTATACTTTGTTTCGCAAACTTATTTTTTTAAAGATCGCCAGATGAAGGCGGACAAAAATAAACTAGAATTTTGGTTTTTCATTTAGCAAAGAGTTTTGCCGAAAACATCGAGATAGAGGAGAAAATAAAAATAAAATGTTATTGTTGACAGTAAACATTGTAGTAATGAGATGGTTAAATGCTTTAAATTTATATAATTAGGAAGAAATATACATATCTTATTTTTGGAGATTTCAAGTCGGCGGCGGGCACAATAAATATAAAGGAACATTTTTTTTTCTGAAAATTTAAATTTTTCATGGTGGCGGGTGTGCTAATTGGCCAAAAAATAAATTAAATTTTTATTTGAAATCATAATTTTTTGCAGTTGGTGGGTTCACTAAACAAAGTATAAAAATGTCTTGCCTTAATTAGTAAGATAATTGTTAAGCAGATCTGAATTAATTGCACAATGTTAGTTGCACCAGGGTAACCCATCCCTTCTGGTAATATTACCTGTAGGCTGGCTTGAAAGGCACTGGTCATCCAGTCATCATGAGGTCCACTGCGGTTTAATACAGTTAGATGCACAAAGAAAATACTGATGTAAATAATTACAGGCAAGACGATTAACAACCCTACATGGCAAGAAAATTGGTAAAGTAGCTGCCTCTAAAAAAATAATGAAAAATAAACAACCATTCATTGTCAACTAAAGGAGATTTTTTTTTTCTGTCGGCAGAGCGTAAATATGTTTTAGGTTGCCTTGTTGACCCAGTTCTGTGGAATTATTCAAGTCTAGTTTGAAAACATTTCTCTTTAATACATAATTCTTTTAAGTTTAACCCGAAACCTTTATTTAGAAATACCGGGATGGTGTCCGCAGCATTGGATTGTTTTACCTTCAGTTTAAGTTAGATTTAGGTAGTTAAGATTTGTTTTAGTTGTAGTTAAGATGTCCTGGGTATGACGGTGAAATGCATCCACTCAAATTGCTGGCGATCAACTGGCAGCCCCATCTACGAATTTAGCGGCCTTTGGGTGGGAGGGTGAATGGTCACCCAGCAGCAATAAGAAAAATAGCTGAACAAAGGCGGATGAACTCCTCGGAGCCAACGGTCAAACCACGCTTAGTTTGAAGGAGTAGGATTAGTTAAGTATTACTCTTTTTGTATTATTATATATGTTAAACGCATAGAGGTCTCTATGATATGCGCTCTATAATTCGACCACTATTATTATTATTACTTACTTACTTAATCCTCTTCTGTGCCAATTATTATTATTACCCTTGAAATAGATTGATGGTCATTCTTACCAACTCCACTGATCTATCGGCAATTAGCCTCCAAAGATCCAGGCAGACAGATGCCATCACAATAAGCACTGTGAAGATCCCATTGTATTTAACACTGAAACAAAAAATACTAATTTTAGTAATGAATTATAAAGTCAAAATTTGTGTACATCATAAGTTAATTATGTATTACCAATATGTCAATTGTAAAATGTTTTGACAAAATCAAATGGTGGGATTAATTTAATAAGCTGTTATCTAATACTAATATTGATTAAAAACTGATTGGTATAAAAATTATAGAAACAAAAATATTAAATCATAAAAAAACACCATAAAATATATAAATAATCAGACAAAAATTACATTACCTCATACAACAAACCATTGAAACACCAGTACAGGTAAGCCAAAACAACCATGCTAATGAGAATGGCCTGTAAAAAGTAAGTAAATTCTATACATTTTCTATATTTTTTAGACACTGTGCCCATAACTCAAAGGGATCTAAGACAAGCACTATAAGACCACTGTTCAAGAACTGAATGTGTGACCTTAAAAGTAGAATAATAATAATAATAATAATAATAACAATAATAACAATAACAACAACAATAATAATAATAATAATAATAATAATAATAATAATAATAATAATAATAATAATAGTGTAGTTTTACATAGCGCACATATCCATCTAATGTAAGATGCTCAGGGTACTTAATATGTGGACTAGGTTAACATTGTGCCATAACACTGTTTGCAAATTTTAAAGATTAATTTATTTTGATTTACTTGGTGTTACTTGTAAGAAATATACATATGATTCTAGAACTCACACAAATGAAATTTAACAACCAAGGTATAACCTATGATTCCTGATGATGACATAATTAATGTCGAAATATTGAATCCCGACACGATGGCGTGCATTTCGATACTTGGAGTATGTATCTATTTTTATACCTCCATGGTATTATACTATCGTATCTGAGATTAATCAGTGGACCTTTTGGTTTTAGGTATAAGCTGCACTCTAGTTTTTACCTGTGTTTCTGCTGCTTGAACATCAGCAGCGACAAGACTGACAGAACACTGAAGAACAGCAGCATTGAGTCGATGAACATAAAACGTGACTGTATTATCAAAGAGTTCTCTAAAAAAAAAAAACAGAAAAATTAATTTTATTTCACAGCAGAAAAAAAAAATATTTGACACAAAAAGATTTGATTCCAATGAGTAACAAATGTTGGCTTATGTGTAAGGGGGTCACATACATAATGCAGACTTACACACACATACAGGAATATAACAGTAATGTAAATTTTATTTGAAAACATAAAATGTAACTTTTGTGATTTAATCTACAGCACAATAAAATGATAAAACCATGCCTTTGAAAATGTTAGTTATTTGTAGGGATACTTACCAAATAAAACTAAAAAGCCAGCCAACGTAGCAGCCCCATGTGAAAACCCAATTGCCAAGACTAACTGGTACACAGCAGGCACTAATAGGCTTCCAAAGATAGCAGGAAGCAATCGAAGGTACCACAGAGGAATAGTTGGAGGGAATTCTGAGAAAGATAAATAAGAATCATTTATAAAATTCATTTTTGAATTTTTAAATTTCAGACATGAATTATAATTACAATTTCTAAAATAATACAATTTCTTATTTCAATACTATAATATTAAGTAAAGAGTTTACAAAATAAATGACATACAATTCAACTGTTCTATCCAAATAAAGTAAAGTATTGTATATCTGTAACCGGTAGTCTTTTCCGTTTACAGTGCAAGGTAGTGGAGACCCAATCTCATCTTGAGTAAAATTTACTGATGCTCAACCTATTCCCTTGTAAATATACACATCTGAGAAATCAATGCTGTCACATTGTCGTTTAGAGGGATCCCTGGTTCAGCAGCGGCTCCAGAAATTTTCCGACAGAGGGTCCAACATGTCCAACAGGGGACACAACATATTCGACTGCGGGGTCCGAATCAAGGGGCCAACTAGAGCCTTGGTCAGGGTCCCGGAATAAAAACCCCTGATAGGGTTCACAGGGAGAGTTTTTATGGCTTAGTATGGCCAAGGATGGCCCGAATTGTAACACAATATTAGGGATTGGCAATCAAAATATCATTACTTGGATAGCAAATTATTATTTCTGATTCGATGTCATCGTGGTGTTGGATGACAGGGGTCAACGCTTGTATGCAAATGCCCCCGCGCTGGCACCACCACTGCCCTGGTTAACAGCCTTTTACCTAGATTGACTGTATATTTACTTATGCATGTTGATCTTTCCAACTAATTTAAGCAAAATGCTTTATTTAATTTGGTCTGTCCCTACACAATATTCTCAGTGAAATGGTGAATATTAATAATGAACTATCAGCAGTTGTTTTAGGAAAAAATCTGATTCCTATACATATAAACCAAGCCAACCTATGGTATATTATCAATATTTGTTATTATATTATCAACTAATTATGAAAACATTTTTAAGATGAATTACCTTCACCAATTTTATCAAACAGAAAATTGCCTTGGAAACCAGACAAGTAGGCAGACAGTGCAAGCAGCAGCTTTCCCAATGGTGGATGGACATCGAAAAAGAAGATACGATTGATGTAAAGGCTTGTGAATTGACCAAAGTGAACTTCATCAAATCTGTAAAAAATTATGGATGTAATAACTAAGATTATATCAGTTTTACTGTCTTCCCAGGGCAGTATAATGTATATTTTTTTAACCTTCTAACCTTATTCCATACTTTCCAACAATGTTTAACATTAATATGGATGAACCATCTTTGAATTATGAAAGAAGACAGTGATGATATTGCTTACAAGTCATTACTGTCATCTTATCAGCTGTGATAAGGGTGTGGATTGCTACATTAATGTGTCCTAATTGACTAGAATGATTTCGTTTAAGACGTTCTGTTGACTCATCCAGTTAAGTTACTTAACGGACGGGTCGGCATGGGTGGAAGTCTATTTTTTCCCCTGCCGCAGGTTATTGACGCTCTGTTACTATGTGTCCTGCTGGGTGAAGTGACATTTGCGTGTTGTTTTTTTTTTCGTCTTGTTACGTAATGTGGATTTGATGTATTATGTTTTGTTGGAAATATGAATAAAAAAAAAAATCAAAAAAAAAAAAAATCTTATCAGCTGTGTAATTGCTAATAAATCACTCCTTTCTTTTGTACTGTACACCGTCCTCAACAGTGGCATGTTCACAAAAAATATATAAATATTTTTGTTTGATTGATTGAAAGTAAAACTGGTATCTTACACTACACCTCTAGGGTTTTCAATTCCAACAATCCTTAAAAACCCTGCTAGTATAGTCAAGCAAGCGAGAACTAGGTTCACTTTGACTGTCATGAAAGGATCTGAGCAGAACATTGATCGTCTGCTGATAGCATTGGCTGTGCCCTCATTTCTCTCTGGGTTCTCTTCTTTGGTTGGTTCCTGCATAGCTGCATAAGGTTGTGTTCATATGGATACTGATCCTGCTGTCAGAAACTCCTGATCACCAGATCTATGCATGAAAAGCAATAATAATGATAAAAATAATTACTACAGTAAGTCAATCATGACATCATCACTGCAACTCCCAATGTTCTTTTCCTATCCCCAGATGTGCACTAATCTTTCATTAGTGCACAATTTGCTTGATCTTTTTTAGATTTGTGTGGAAAAAGCCAATTCAAGTGCCATATCGCACACCACCCTGAATTCTAGGCTAGTGTTTTTACACCTACAGAAAGCGAGGGCAAAGATGGTAATTGAAAAAATGACATTTGTAATACAAGGTATATTAGAACCCGAAGAAAGTCACTTCAAAATTAATATATGAAAAATTAAGGAATTCCTTGAATCAATGCACCCTAATAAACTGAAGAAACTGAACATTTAATAGGAATATTTGAGGCTTATCTAGACCTATTTCAAAGATGCAAGGAACAAATTTAAATGTAAGCAGTATGCCTAACGTAGATCGATCCGCAAGCCCAGATGAAATCATCACACGATTTTTCCTGTCTGCACTGACACCAAAATTGTGATAACTGTATTCTCTCAAATGCTCGAAAAAGTTTTGATGGAATGTCTATCAAAATATATATCAAAAAGTATCGCAGCTACTGTACAATCCTCATGCACGGCTAAACATAGTACTGTACACGCACAGATATACTGATCATATCACTATAGCAACTGATGAGTACTACAACACTTTGATTATTAAAAGATGGCAATTGATTTATAAAGCAAAAAGAATAGTCCTTTTACACTATGTACAAATTATTATACTTAGGCTAAATTAATGCAATCAAAAATTCCCTTCAGGTCTTGCAGGGCCTCAGGAATTTTTTTCTTGCATTAATCTAAACTTCACACAATAATTTCCACATAGTGTCAAATACGCAACTATTCTAATTACTTACAGTATTAGTTCTAATGCCAAAGCATCACAAAAGAGCTTCAGTTAAGATTGGCTGATGCACCTCTGAAACCTTTCAGGGTTTATTTAAATGTATGTTACTTCTGAAAAAATGCACTTCACTAAACTTTGAGTGAACATTAATACAATATTTCCTTTTCAAACTCACAAGGATAAGCCACCAGCAAATAGCCGGCCAGGAGTTTGTCGGATACCATGCGAATGCGGAAAGGTTTACATTGGTGAAACAGGTCGTGATCTCCGTACCAGGCTCAAGGAACACCAAGGCCATGCCAGGAGAGGGGAACAACAAAAGTCATCTATAGTCATGCACTCCCACACACCCCATCGTGTATGTTGGGATAAATCTGAACTGATAGCCACTGTACCATCTTGGCATTCCAGACGGACCAGAGAAGCTATAGAAATTCACAAACACGATACAGTACATCAAGATATTGGATTTATCATCAGCGATATTTGGTTGTCCATGTTTAACCGGACCTAAACTAAATTTTTTCCCGCCAAACTTTCCCTCTACACTGGAACTATGCCATTGTTTTTGGCTTTCCTTCCCCCAGCTAGAACAATGCCACTGTCTTGGCTTTCTAGCCACGCCCCGCCCTTCTATTCAGACCGTGAATTTTAGCTTTCGTATAGCTTTTCATTGGTAGGCTCAGCCTTTGTTTAGTTTTCAACCAATCGGCAGCAAGTCTCATCACTCAAACATATAAGTTTTGAGATTCTACATTTGAGATCTCTGCAGATATTATTCTCCTGAAGACGGTTGAAGCAAGTCAACCGAAACGTCGAGATATTCTCAACCAACAACAACAGTTCTTTTCAGAACTATCTACGTGGTGTACCGCAAGCATTAATTATATATTATATAATATTTCCTTTGTTATTAATGTTTCTGATACAAATACTGTATAAGTTTTGAGCTACCGGACTTGTGGGAATCAAAATATATCTGGAATAATCAATTTTCTAAAGTTGGGCTGACTCAATTCTACCTTCACACTTATTTTTACATCTCCCTGATGAAGGTCCTGGCGGGAAGCAGATACCACCCACCCATACCACCCTCGACTTGTCAGAGGTATATCTAGAAAGAATATGTTACATTTACAACAGGCTTAAAATGGCCCAAAATTGGTCAGTTTCTTTCGGCACCTGAGGCTGAAGCCCACCAGGCCTGAGTAACCGCACTTTGCCTGCCTTTCCTAGACTCCACTTCCCTCCACCCTCGTCCCTCACTCAACAGATTGTAACACCAATCTGGCCTCATGACAGCCAAGCTTTGAATAAAAAACATTAAAAGATAACGTAAAATCGGGTCAGAGTGGTTAACTGAACTACAAAAAGGGCCTAGGCCCAATGACAATGTGACGACGAGTAGGGCTAGGCCTAGGCAAAATGTTCTATCCACCCAAACTACACAGTAAACTGGCTGCAAAATTGACTCTCCTCACCTCACCAAATGTAAACAAATTGCCGTTGACCCACTGACGAAGGGCTTAGCCTAATAAATCTGAGAAATTTATTATAAACTGTCTGAATTGGTAGCAATAACAAAAAAGTAGACAATATAAAGTATAAAAAATACTACCAATATTGAAATCTCATATATTTCTTATTTACCCGTCCAAATAGACAATTAATTTGTAATCAGGATTGTCCTATCTATGATACTTCCTGTCTCTTATACACATCTAGCTGCGTATACGAGACAGCAATAATTACAGTATTAGTTCTAATGCCATAGCATCACAAAAGAGCTTCAGTTAAGATTGGCTGATGCACCTGAAACCTTTCAGGGTTTATTTAAATGTATGTTACTTCTGGAAAAATGCACTTCACTAAACTTTGAGTGAACATTAATACAATATTTCCTTTTCAAACTCACAAGGATAAGCCACCAGCAAATAGCCAGCCAGGAGTTTGTCGGATACCATGTGAATGCGGAAAGGTTTACATTGGTGAAACAGGTCGTGATCTCCGTAGCAGGCTCAAGGAACACCAAGGCCATGCGAGGAGAGGGGAACAACAGAAGTCATCTTGTGGGAATCAAAATATATCTGGAATAATCAATTTTCTAAAGTTGGGCTGACTCAATTCTACCTTCACACTTATTTTTACATCTCCCTGATGAAGGTCCTAGCAGGAAGCAGATGGATATGCCCTCCTCTCCCCATACCCCTACGACTTGTCAGAGATATATCTAGAAAGAATATGTTACAATTACAACAGGCTTAAAATGGCCCAAAATTGGTCAGTTTCTTTCGGCACCTGAGGCTGAAGCCCACCAGGCCTGAGTAACCGCACTTGCCTGCCTTTCCTAGACTCCACTTCCCTCCACCCTCGTCCCTCACTCAACAGATTGTAACACCAATCTGGCCTCATGACAGCCAAGCTTTGAATAAAAAACATTAAAAGATAACGTAAAATCGGGTCAGAGTGGTTAACTGAACTACAAAAAGGGCCTAGGCCCAATGACAATGTGACGACGAGTAGGGCTAGGCCTAGGCAAAATGTTCTATCCACCCAAACTACACAGTAAACGGCTGCAAAATTGACTCTCCTCCCCTCACCAAATGTAAACAAATTGCCGTTGACCCACTGACGAAGGGCTTAGCCTAATAAATCTGAGAAATTTATTATAAACTGTCTGAATTGGTAGCAATAACAAAAAAGTAGACAATATAAAGTATAAAAAATACTACCAATATTGAAATCTCGTACATTTCTTATTTACCCGTCCAAATAGTGTTGTTGATGGCTCATCCGGAAGCTGCTGAGCTGCATGCATGTTTCAAACAAATGGAAAACTATAGAGGGAGTAATACAGTATTCACCCAAAACACTTTCATGGCTTTAGCTCATAGTTTATATCTTACATAGTTTTCAATACTTTTTTTTTTGTCTTTCTTGTGGAAGGGCCCTTTTTTCAGAATTCTGCTATGTTTTATTGGTACTTGTTTCGATGATATTTTTTATAAATGTTAATATTTTATATGTAACAGAAACATTAAAATACAATAGGCCGGCAGTAGCCTACCAATAATAAAAATATTACAATTTACAAATCTATCATAAACAATTTAATGCAGTAAAATGTATACTGTATATTAGTCGCCACACTATAATTTCCTTATTCAGATTTGGTCATTTTTATCATCCTCAAATTATATTGATCTACATTCGGGATTCAAATCCAAAGACTTTCCGATCCGCGGCCCATCTGATAGTAAATTGCACTGCGACATTCAATGCTCGTTTCACTACTCGACATTGGTACTATTCTTACGTACCTGGCGCTTGAATCACCACAAAATGCCTTCGTGGTCGAGTGGCTATAGTGACCATGTCCGGAGGCTGTACCATGTATGCAAACCGGGTCCCGGGCTAGTCCGGGTGAAGGCTGAGTTTGTTTCTTTCTGTCTTCAGGCTTACTTTTTATTACGTTTCATTATAATTATTCATTGCATTATTTCGCAGGCTGTTTGTGGGTCTATCCCATATGTCTTTAAATCACTTTATATACAAGTATTTCAAGGCCTACAACATATAGCACGGTTGAATAATACACGGAGGGCATATCTTACAGATACAAGATACAATGGCGTGTATTTCAATACTTGGAGTATGTATTATACTTTCTTATCTGAGATTAATCAGTGGACCTTTCGGTTTTCAAGATACAATATTCTTATTTATTTATTGTCACTTAGTACACAAAAGAATTCTACCTGGCGCTTGAATCACCACAATAGGCTCTATATGGTCAAGTGTTATGACGTTCGCCATGTATACGAACGATCCAGGTTCGAGTCCCAGTGGAGGCTGAGTTGGTTAGGCCGACCAGCCCTCCTTAAACTAACGTTTAATACGTTATCTCACTATATTAATTGGATTAACACATTATTAAGGATAAGTACTGAGTGTTTAACACTGGTGTCCTTGGATTCAATTATGGGTAAACGGATTAGTTGCCTTTTTTATGAGGTTTTAATTGTTCTTTACCGCCGAAAGTGCGGTATTCTAACG